ACATAATCAAGGATTTAAATATCGCCAGTACTGCCTCGCGTCGCTCGGCATCGCCGGCCAGATCTCGCGCCACACGTGGTTCTTCATGTGCTGCAGCGCGACGTAGACCGTGTTCTCGCCGCGACCCGTGCGCACCGTCGGCTCCTCCTCCCGCGCGTCGCCCCGCTCGGTCGCGTGCCACCGGCTCGCCCTCAATGCTCTGACTCGCGTCGTCGCCAGCCACTTGCCGAAGCGGATCGTCCACCGCATCGTCGGGTGCAGACCGAGGGCCGTCCGCTGCATCGGCACGCTCTTCCCTGCCGCGGCCTGCGTTGCAAGGAACTCGCGCAGCTGCAGGCGCACGCGCCGAAGCTGCACCGACAGCGCCGGCCCGTGGGGCGCTAGCATCGGCTGCTCGTCGCCACGCGCAGCCTCGTCCTGCCGCTCGTCGTCCTCCGCCTCGAGGACGTCCGCCAGCGCGCTGCGCCGCACACCCCGGCACGCGGGAGGCGGCGCCGGCCGCACCTCGGCCGCCTCGGCGGCACCCGCGGCACGGGCGCCCTCGCCGTCCGCGCGGTCCATCGCCGCATCCCCGTCCACGTCTGCGGCGGCGCCTCCTGCGCCCGTGCCGGCCTGCTCTGGGACGGCTCGCCACCGCTCGTCGTCCAGCATGTGCCACCACCGCCGATCCGGGTAGCCGTCGTACTCGACCTGGTGCGCGATCCGTCCGTCCCCGTCCTCCTCCCGGCCCATGACGGTCGCGGGGTACCACCGCTCGGTGTCGCAGAAGATCTCGAGGCGCGATCCGGTGGGCAGGACAGTGTGGCCGTTGAGCGCCGCCCTGCCATCCTCGCGCTGTCGCTTCCGCCGCTTCGCCTTCGTCTCCTTGCTGCGCAGCAGGGTGTAGTTCGGGCCCGCCTCCGCCACGCTGTCCAGCAGCTGGACGGCGCTCACCATCTCGACCGCGTCGTCCTCCGGCGGAAGCTCCGCGTTGCCCGCGGCCGCCTCCCGAGCGCGCTCGTCGCGCATCCGCTCGTGGTGGGCCTGCCGACGCGCCACGCCGGCGCCCGTGTGCCTCGCCGCCGCGTCCGGCGACGGCATCGACGCTGTCTGCCCGAGCGTGACTCCCAGCTCCACGATTTGCGGTCGACCAAATTTGGCTGCCCCCATCAAAGTTGACTCCCTTCCTTAGATACATACATACCTACAGCTACACGGAACACGCCTGTCGCCTGGAACAGGTCTGGCGTCTGCGGCGGGCTTCTGTTCGCCCCTGCCACCCCGCTCCACCCGGACTACACTGTATATGGCCCTAAATGGCAAAAAAACTCAGTACGGTCCGGCAGCGGGGCAGCCGCACTGCCGCTAAGCAGGCAGCCACAGGCAGACCTCCTCGCCGGCGCTCGCCACGAGCTGCCGCGTCGGGTTGCACTTGACGGAGGTGACGGGGCCGCGGTGGCCCGCCTGCGCCGCAACCAGCGAGGCGTCGTGCGTGCGCCAGCGCCAGATCTTGCCGTCCTCCGACCCGCTCATCACCTGCGCGCCGTCCGCGCTGAAGCACGCCTCGAGCGGCAGCCCCATCTTGTTGGCGTGCCCGCGAAAGGTCTGGAGCTCGGTGCCCTTGAAGGCGTCGATGCTGACGGCGGCGCCCTGCGCGGTGCCGACCAGCATCAGCTTGCCGTCAAAGTTGAAGCAGATGGACGCAAAGTCGCGAGGCTCGCCCGGCACCGAAAAGGTTGCAAACGGCCCCTTAGAGGCAAACCGCAGGTCGAAGAGCTTGACCTGGTTGCCGCCCACGCCCGCGGCGAGCACAAGCCCCTCGGGGTCAAAGGAGACCGCTGGCCGGCGCCCGCTGCCGGGGAAGCGGAGGACGCCCAGGCAGCCGGGCACGCGCAGGTCCCATGTCCGCATCGTCTCGTCCGCCGCCGCCGAAGCAAAGACGTCGTCCTTTGGAGAGACGCTCAGCGAGAGCACCGGCGCCGTGTGGCCGGTGAAGAAGCGCAGGTAGGTGTTGTCGTGCAGCGAGTGGTACCGAATCGCGTGCGCGCCCTCGCCGCCTCCCGTC